GTGCAAAAGGATATCAATGTTTGTTTGTGCCAATGGGTTTCTCGGACATTCGCCACACGCTGTGTGCTTCTGTTGTCCTGCCTGCCAGGACATATGCATAAATGTCACCCGAAAGGCAGACACACTGTCTGTCCTCCAGTTTGAGCACTCAGCTGGTGGCGATCCCTGGCGAAAACTGGCTTATGCAATTGCACAAGGAGCTTCAAAGTCAGAGCCGCCAGGGCGACCTTGGCAGGAGGAAGAGGAGGAGGAGGAGCACCAGGAGCAGCAGAGCTGCAAGTCGTCTGTCACGAGCGTGGTCATAACATTTCATTGCCATAATTTCTTATGCAAATATCCTGTGGCAGCGTTGCGAATTTATTAATTACTCGCCAAATGCCCCCAAAAAGTGTAGTCTGCCCTGGAATTCCGGGTGAGGTCGTTTCTTTTGGGTACACTTTCCGAAATTATTGGTCAACTATGGGCCACATTTGCCCAATGAAATATTTAATTTTAAGTGATTTAAAGTGTAAAATCCTAAACCTTTTACTTTGTCTAGATTTTTTTGTAATTTTTGCCATTAAAATAAGGAATCTTTTTATATTTTTTATAGAAATAGTTGTAGTAGTCAGAAATATTTTTAAAATATAATTTTCATGATATATTTATCCCACAATTTGAGATACTTTCTGGCGGTGCTTTTGGCTACCGGTTAAGCCAGGGCGCCGTTGAACCATATTCGTAATTCTCGAAAATCTTGGCTGCCGCTGCTCTCCCAATAATATCCCAGCAGACAAAAACGTTTGTTTATGATATTGAAAACAAGAATTTTGCGGGTTTCAAGTGGATAAAACTATGATAAAGCTAATCACCTTTCAAGGGTTTTGTGGCAGAAAATGCTATAATTTTCGGAATCCGAAAAAGATTTCGATTGCGGACCTTTTACGACATCATTATCGTGTATTATGCTGAGAATTTGCGATACTTGTTCGCTTTTTCTACGTTTGCGCATCCGTTTTTAAGCATTTAGCATAACTAATGCAGAAACTCCGATTCTTTTTCCGTTTTTAATATCTTTAGTGGGCATTTTTCGGATCCATCCACACTTAGACCGCTCTTTGTCTGCTGGGATATGTTTATTCCGTCGGCCGTGCGCTGGGCTCTGTCTGTGTCAGTGTCTGTGTATAATTAAAATGTTCAAAAAAGCGACAGTGTTCATTTTTTCATCATAAATTTCAAAAAGATTGCCATTTTGGCGCTGGACGCGCGCGTCCCTCATTTGAAGTAAACCGCGGCAATGACAACGGACTTGGGATCGGGAGCTGGTGGTGAGCTGGTGAGCTGGGAGCGAGGACCGGGGGACTGGACCACATTTAATTGGCAAGGCTGCAACCCGTTTTAGCTGTTTTTTTATATATACAGGTATACATTTATATTTTTTTGCAGCCCATGCTTTTTTGTCGAGTAATTTTCAAATCATACCAAGGTCCCTTATCTCCACCAGCAACCACTCCCGACTGCGACTCCGACTCCGGCTTCTTAATGCGCGTGCGCAGCGGCAATTTGATGAAATGCATATGAAATCAAAAGTGAATTTCAACGCATAAATGCGCGTAGTGCAGTGCGACTAATTAGCCCAGTCACGCAGTGAGTCGGAGTGCATTTAAATGCTGGAGGGGGAATACGTATTCCGTCTCCTTGCAATGCCACGCGACTTGGGCTAGGCTCCACCAGCAATCGGTGGTTGTTCGCAGCTCAGTTTTGGCTCTCCGGCGATCCCAATTAAATGCCATAAATTGCATTATGAAGCCCCGCCACCTAAGGGAGGATCCTTCTAGGAGCAAGCCAAATATCGCAGAATCGGCGGCTTGAATGCCTTTCAAGAGCATCGCTCTTTTTTGATAAACGAATAAAGGAATAAACCATTTTAATGAGATTATATATATGAATGCCGCTCTTTATATTATGAATTGTGTTTTTGTTTTTATTAAATGATATGCCTACTTAAGGTTAATGCTCTCCTTGAGGCATGCAAAATGCAAAAACTGTAGGCCGTAGGTTTTCATTATCCTTGGAAAAATCTGTACACAGCTTGAAATAGTTTCTTAAAGTTTAATATTTGTAAATATTTAAATGGTATATTTTAAATTTTAAGATATACGGAAAAGCCAGCTGATTTCAGCAGGATGCAGTTCAGTTTTTCCGGATCCTGTGACTTCCTTCTCTAAACCTTTCCTGGGCTCTTTGACCATACTTAAGTCGCTCCATTTATGCATTTTATTTGCTTTGTTTTGTGGGTTTTAACTCGCTTTTTTGCTTGGCAGCAATTAAGGAAAGCTGGTCCCTGCAGGAGTCCATAATTAAGGAAGCCCAAAGAAACGCTTTTGATGATCGCCGGACGCCGCAGTGGCGGTAATTAATTTAATTAATTTGACAAAGTGAAAGCCCGCGGTCGAATTGAGACATTTTCGGCGAGGTAATTAAGACATTGCCAAAGGTTTTTGGGAAGGGAAACTGAAACATATTCTTAAAAAAGTAAAAGTAAGTGAACTCTCTCTCTCCAAGAACATAATCCGGTTTTATAGTTTTTTATTGGAAACGATTGTCTGCTGTGCTCGTCCCTAATAATTTTTAATAGCCGTCAAATGAAGTTGGGGGTAATCCCCTCTACATATACTACGGGGCTTCCTCCGTCATTATCATTTCAGCTGCATTGTCAAGGGTAATCAGCTTAACTAGGAGAACTTTAGTGTTCCATTTCAATCCTGAAAGGATCGCACACGCAAGGAAAGCGGGATCCTTTTGAGACTCCAGAGCGGTGGGCGTTCCTTTTAATTGCTGGGAACTGCACAGGAACTGTAACAATGGAGGAGGCCAGCGACAAGTGCACCATTGCCGCACTTGTGCGCCGCACTTCGCCAGAAGTTACATAATAACATCACAATTACGTGGACAATTGTGCACGCGATCGGGGAAACTAGGCAACAAAGGCCGCTGCCTATTTGTCGGCATTTCGTGTCTTATCTGAGGGATACGCCCAGAACCGAGATACTCTTCATATCGGTGCGAATATCTCTAATTGCAAGTGCGGTGCCATCGCTAGCACGACGATGCCCTGAGCATTCTCGCTCTGAGGAGAAATCCTGGAAAAGATGTCAGGGCCGAACATAAATTACATTATTCTTTGTCAACATTTGTGAGTCAAAAACGCGTTCATGTTAAACAAATAACTCACTTGTTGGTCACTCTCTACCCGCTCCAGTCTGCGGTCTCCGTCTCCATCTCCTTCCCCTTCTTCCCAGTTTGTGAGGAGGTTATTTACGAGACATCAGTCATGGGGAACCATGGGCCATGAGGCGGTTGTGTTGTAATCAGAGCATCCTTAATAAATCATAAATTTATTCGTTGCATGTAAAGAGCCCCACAAAACACAAAAACACATATATATAATCGTTGCACCAGGCCGAGGAAAAAGGCTCTCGGCGGTGCCCCCGGGGCGCTATATCTGCTACATATTTCTGCATATATTTCGACAGGCGAACCGATCGATCGATCGATCGATCCCCTTTTCGGGGCCATGTCAAACATATTATTAACTTCACACAAAAAGCGTTCGATTTTGCACCGTTTGCTGTCGCCGGGACATTGTCGTATGTCGCCCATTGCGACCGCCAATGGAGGAGTGCATTCATATGCTGTGGGGATGTATGTATGTATATATTCTTGGTATCCACCCGAGCCCTTTGGGGAAATCAGCATCTCCCTCGCTGGGAGAATCCCTCGCATTTCCCCACTCCTTTTGCAATGCAAAAAGCTGGAAAGAGCCGGAAATAATAATTCGATAAATGCGCCATGAAGAGAGCCGTAGTAGCTGTGGGCCTCAGAACCGTTCGATTCTGTGCTTACACTGCCAAAAAAAACCAAGGATTCGAGGCTTTTCAATATTAAGAATAGTCTAACGTCTTCCTTTAAATATTTATTTAAATTTTAAAGAAAACAAAAGGCAACATTGAGTATATCCTAACTTTATTTGTTGACAATCTTTAAGGTTTTGGCTCTATTATCCCTTGATTTTCTCTCAGTGCCCAGTTAACCGTTCGGAGCACCGCTCTTCCGCAGCGCATGGCGAATTGATTGCCATGGAAAGCCTGGCAAACAGAAGATCGGTTATAGCCGCTATAGTTCAGCACCAGTGTGGTGGCTCTTGAAGGTCTCAGTGGCCGAGGGCTGACTGCCGCCGGGTGACGGAAGTGCGTATTCGCAGCAGCCCCCCGCTTTGCCGCTTTGCCGATCTATTAATGAGATCCAGTTTGGGGCAGCAGGAAATGCGCGTGGGAGTTGCTAGCCGTTTCTCCAGCGGATGTGGACTGCCAAAGGGGGGAATACACTTATGTGTACATATCCCTAGCCGTACAATGTCGCGGTGGCTTTGGCATTTGGCTTATCTCTGACCAATTCATCGGCTTCAGCGGCTTCCGTTGCGCTGCACAAAACAATCCCAGTGCATTCCGGTCCTAACTGCCCTGTGTCGGGGGCGATCTCTGGACAATTGGCGACTGCATTGCTTGAATAACTTAAAATTAGTCCAGCAACGATCGATCGGCGGCATTCGGGCTCTGATTAACTGTTGGCCATATGCAAAAATGCAGCCAGTAAATTACTTGCAGCTCTTAGTTCTCGATACCGATTGTCCTTGATTGTGGAAAGCTCTCTGGAGAAGGGTCCCTGACAAATTGTTAGGATAATTTACTGGCCCGTCATCGGTGATCCGGCAAATACTTAACGGTAACGTCGATCGTCAGGCCGATATGTAAGCTCCTGCCATTCTTTATTGTGACTTAAAATTGGGACATTAAAGGTGCCTATATTGAAAGGTAAAAGGTAAAGGTATGTGGAGAATCCACAGAGGAAACTAAACTAGCGTTCTTTACCCTTTACCTTTATACAAATCACACGAAAAAGATATTTAAAGAAAACAAGCCATTAGAAGTTCTTTATAATTATCAGTTTAATGTCCTCCATGTTTTTTTATTTATATTAAAAAAAAAAAAAAAAAGATATTCTTAAGCATACATTGTCTTCCATTACACAGCTAAATCTTAGGAACGGTCCTATAAACTACATAAAAACCTTAAGTGCTAATTTGTACAGGCAAAAAAAAAGTGTTGGTTTTTGGGGAATATAAATACTTGGCAGATGAGGTAATACAATCAATGGTTGGGTGTGTGTGTGTGTGTGCGACTAGCGGTTGCAGGATGGGGGGATGACTCCCTACAGATCATCCTGCCAGAGGGAAATGTAGTCGAGTATGTCCTCATCCTCGGCCCCAGAGCTGCACGAGTTGTTGCGGTAGTCTTCATAGCTGGTCTCCAGCTTGGCAACAATGTTCGAGGCGGAGGAGGATGTGGTGGCCGGTGGTGCTGCCGCTGCTGCTGCTGCGCCTGGGAAGTAGTTGCTGCTGCTGCTGCTCAGACTGCTGCTGCAGGAGCTCACGCTGCCCGAGGGCGAGCTGAGCTGCAGTTGCTGCTGCCACGCGTAAAAGTGCTGCTGATGCTGCTCGAGTTGCTGCAGCCGTTGCTGCTGGAATTGTAGATGCTGCTGCTGCTGCAGCTGTTGTTGTTGCTGCTGCTGCTGCTGCAACTGCTGCTGCTGCTGCTGACTACTGTCGTTCTCATCGATGAGCTTCTGCAGCCGGCGAATGTACTCCACGGCCATCTTCAGGGTGCTAACTTTGCTGAGCTTCTTATTGGCACCGGGGCCAATGCCACGCCGTCCGTTGCTCAGATCGGCAATCACCGCCACGGGTATGTGCTGGCGGAGCTGGCTGAACCCATTGTTGACCTGCTTGACACGGTTCCGTTCGCGGGCATTCCGTCGGACAACCGAGGGACCGCAGATGGGAGAGGTCGAGCCAGAGGATGAAGAGGAGTCCTCGTAGTAGAGGGACTGATGGTTCTCGCTGCCCAGAGCCATGTTGTAGATTGCTGCTTCGGAGATATTAGAGAGCTTGAGTTTGGCTGGTGAGTTCTGCTCGAGAGCTGGCTCCGTTCTGATGCCCTTCTCCGGGCCGTTGCAGCTATTTATAGGGGCCCAAGGGCTCCAGGACACGAATCTCACCTGCAGATTGTCTACCTGCGACAAAAGGTGCAACAGCGGCGGCTGCGTCAGCGGCAGCGGCAGCGGCAGCATAGGAGCAAGGATCAGTCTCTCTCTGTGGCGAGAGACCCTCGGCCAATCCGAGCACGCACTCTCTGAAGGTGTGTGTTACCTTTGCGAGAATGAGATAAAGAGCGCAAAAACCCACTCGGTCTCTCTGAGATCTGAGCAGCTGCTCACCTGGCGTTGAGTGTTCCCTGTATCCCGGAGTGGGAAGAGTTTTTCATCTGCAGGCAGGCGTTTCAGCTGCCTTCTTCCGCGACGCATTTCCAGACCAAAAACTTCAACCTGGCTCTGTCGCGTGCCGGCTGCCAACCGGTTTCGAGAAGAAGGCCTCAGAGTCGCAACCAGAGATCCCGCAGACCCCAAGTGGCAATCGCCTAAGCCAGCTTTTATGGCATTAATAGTTCCGCTGCCATAAATCAGGGACTCATCAACACTCTTGGCTAAATGAAATCAAATGCTAAACTTGATTCTGGCCGATGGTGTGATCTTTGACGATCTGGCAGACCTGCTTTTCGGAGAGCAAAGGAAACCCCCATGTGGACTTCCTTTATCCTTTGGCCTTCCAACGATATGACCTTCTCTCCGAGGTCGAAGTCGAGGTCCCTGTTATCATTGAACATTAGGCCCAGGGCCGCTTTAGAATCCAAAGTTTTATGACACTTTCAAGGCCTTGTCGGCTCGTCAACACCTCGAACGGTGATCCATTCGATCCCGCACAGAATACCGATTCCAAAGTGCCGGAGGCACTTTTCTATTAACACTCCTAATGCCCCGTGGTCCTTTATGCCCGTCGTAGCAAGCGGCAGCAGCGGCAGTCCAAGTCGAAAGCATTTGGAAAGCATTTAGCAGGATTCCAGCGAGGATGGACTATGGGTTTTCGTTTCCTTTTGTCCGCATGGCAATCGCCGATGGAGGACTCTGGTTGCACGCTAGGAAACCGTGCCGAAATAGATATTGGCATTGAATATGCCGCACGCTGGGCCTCGTTTAACACTTCGTTGCAGCAGCCGCGGGGTGTATTGCATCAGGCTCGGAGGACATCGAGGGACATCTGAGCGCAGCAGCACAGGTCACAGAGGGGTTTCCCCCGTTTTGCCCAGATGTTGTGCGCCGAATCGATCGTATCCGGTCGGTCATGCAAAATCCATATTGGTGCAATAGAAATTCGATGTGGCTAGGACTTTCTATATTGCAATTTATGTTTTATAAACTCCACGTTAAGTAACCTTCTTCCGTGACAAACATTTCTCTTCCAAAAATATTTATTTCTCCAATCCGTAAGGGCATTCCTGCGTCTGTGCTTTTTTTATTTTGCATTGCCTTTCGGCCCGCAGCAGGCTCCATGCAGATCGACGATCGGAGATCGGCAGCAGGAGGCGCTATCATTATCTGACACAAAAATTTAATATAAATTATGTTGACATGTTGGCTTAAATATGTACGTATGTACGTCGCGCGGCTCTTGGCTTTTGGCTTTGCCTTTTGCTCTGCTGCTTTGCTTACGATCATAATTGAGCCGAATCGAGCGAGGATCGCTTCTTTATATTTTCATTTCTCTGTCCTCCTCCTGCTCCTCCTGCTCCTCGCGGCTTTCTGTCCCGCAGCCGACTAACTAGTTCAATAATTGCTAGTAAGACACCGGCGACAGCAAAACGAGGGAAAGAGGAGCACACCGAAACGGAGGCTATGTGGCAATATCCAGCGAATGAAGATGAAGTCGTCATTAATATCGACTCGGCCTGTCAATAGCTTGACGTCGCATCATTTTTTCCACACTTCGGTGGAGCGTCACCCTTTTTGGAGCCACAGTGGAGCCTGGCTTCGGACCGAACCGAACCCGATATCATTTAGCCATCCAATTTTCGACATGCGCCAGATCCCAAGGTTGGTTTATAGTCATTACTCTCAGCGATCGATGGCGATCCTTTTGCACTTTGCATGCATTTCTGCGACTTTTGACTTGCTTTTCACTATATTTTTGAACAATTGTATCAGTATTAGGATAGTCTTCCTCCTAACTATCCTTTGAAATCCGAGGCAAGCGAATCAAAAGTCAACTGTCAACTGTTCATGGCCATCAAATTGCCGCCTGACCATCGATCGCGCCTTGGGATAAAAGGGCAAAAGCCGCACTCCGATACCCCAAACCCGCCCTACTCCCACTCTCTGCAAACCCATATATATATATATATATATATATATCTGATTTATGTGGAGTCGCCGGCAAATGTCAGCGATGCGGTGCGACATCTAAAGTAAGCGTTTTGACGCCGCCAATTCTATTTGCCGCTCCGATATTTATGGCTCGAAGAGGAGCACAAGAAATCCAGAGAAATCCAGCTGAGAAGGGGCCGGTCTCGATGGCGATTTTTGATTAATTGTAATACGAGAACTTTGATTAATTGCGGGCAGCAAGCGGCCCCAACATAACAATTTGTTTTGGCATTGCATTAAATCAGACAGCAAGCAGCATTAGGTGGCCAAGAGGCTTCCATTGGCGAGGAGCTGGAGGAGCACGGCGTGAGATTGTAAGGCCAACACCTCGGCAGCCTCCTCTGCGGTAGTATTTATGAGTTGGCTACCGAAAATTTATGAATGGTCCATGGCCCTGGCCTTGATGGCCATCAGCAGCGTCATCATTGCGGCAAGGAACACGGCCAGAAATATTGGGGAAATCTTAAGACTAACAAATCAGACATTATTTCTATGGATATAGGTTATTTTTGAAACCCATTTCTATATTATTTCATTTTTTATTACTCTCTCACCTGCTGGCAATTGCAAATTATGCAAAAAAGTTGTCAAATACGGGAGGCATGGGGCGTGGCTCAGCGTGACTATCAACAAAATACAATCGGCAGCAAAGCAGAAAAAAATTAAAATATTGCCGAAAAAATTGTACCAGTTTTTTCGTCTCTCAGCAATTTACATGTCTCGGAATCAAGTCCTGCCGCCCAACAAAACCAATCAACGCGTCTGTTAAAAAATTAAAAAAAAATATATAAAAAATAAAAAGAAAACGAACGGCAACTGGAAGCGGCGGTTGCTTATCGGTAGCCGCGCTGAAATCAGCTTCTGGCACTCACGATCACGACGCGCCAATCCACCGGCCAAAACCGACAGTCGACAGTTGACTTTGGCCCCCCTTTAACCCCCCTGCCGCTGCCCCTGCCGCTGCCGCACAGGTGACCAAGTGCACCTTCGGATCGACCCTTTAGCGATCCGTGCTCGTTGCTCCTGTCACAATTACAACAGCAAGTGCAGCGGACTAATGACAACCACGGTGGCTGTTGCACCCGGACACTGGGCCAACACCTGCAGAGTTTTGTTTGTAACTCAAAATCTACTGAACGATTGGTTTGAAATTTGGAATATAACTTCTTTAACTAATTCTACAGCTACTCACGTTGAGCTTTCTTTATTTATTAATTTTATTATATTTTTCATTTAAAAATGAACTTAATTTTGTAGTCAAAAATCGGTGCTTTGACTTTAAATTTTTATAAAAAATCTGGGAAAATTTTTAAAAATAAAAACGTTACGTGAGTACCTCGCGACACTTATCCTTTAACGAATGAGGTATAATTTTTTTTAGATCGGATGATTCTGTGGACAGTTAGGATGTACACAGCAAAACAACTTTTTTGGAGGCAACTCGGGAGATTCCCTATAACTCCTCTACCTTTAAATATTTTTCTATACAAAATTTATCAAAAATTGTTTAAATGTTGTCTTATTATATGGTATTTAATTCATTAAGCTAACTTTAGCCGTTTCCCCACAATAATTGTTTGAAAAGTGATCCGTTTTGCACCGAATTAGCCTTACCCCCTTAGGTCTTCAAATTCCTCTTTATCAGTGTTTAAATTAGTTTTAATTTTTCAAACATGACCGAATAACTTGTATTACTAAGGACACTACCCTTCTCACCATATATTATATTTTATATATTTTTTCGAGCATTTCAAAACCACTGTGGCCGTTGACATGGAAACCTGATATTGCACACACGCGCCGCCTCGTGGCCCGAGCCCTGGCTTGAGGTCTGGGCCCGGAATGGGCTGAGGCTGGGACTGGGACTGGGACTTGGACTGGGGCTGGGGATGGGCACCAAATACCAAGTACTGGGATGGGATCCAAGTCTGTCGTCGTCTCGAACCCGAGACCCTTTTGGCGTGCGCGTGCAGTGCAATTAACTTTTGTAGTAAGTCAGCCGGGGCAACACTTGACATTGACTTGGCGAGGCTGCGACTGGGATTTCACGGGCCCTGTGCTGTGCTGCTGGGGATGGGGATGCATGGAGCGTGGAGCGTGGACTTGGGGCGACAATTTCACCTGTTGCCTGACACAGTAACTTATATTATTTGCATGCGTCGAACTGGTTTTCCTTCGCCCCACTGATGCAGCGTGCACAAAATGAAATGAAGTCGGGGCAATACTTGATGGACTCTGCAATGGTCTAGTTTGACGTCGTCTAGTTTTTGCAGCCGCCGGAATGGGGGAGTGGCCAATTAGGGTCAGAGGGTCAGGAACGCGGGAGCACGCTGTGACCAGAACACGAGGAGGAGGGATGACGCCTTGTCTGCCAACCTAATTACCAATGTTTTTCCTCGCAATTGCCAGGATATTAATTGGCGCGGGCTGGCTAGGGGATTCAGCACATCATTAGTTGAGTAATATATCTGTGCCGGGTGTAATTGTCTGTGCCAAAATGGGTTCTGCGAAGGGAAGAAGATTACAATTACACGTTTTAAAAAGTCTCTCCCATATCTTTAATATTTTTAAAATGAATTTCTTATAAATTTTTAGGATATTTTAAGTAACTAAAGAAGTTATGAACGGAATTCTGTGGTTTCCTTTATGATTTCAATGCTT